CATTTTCAATTGTACTACTAATTTATTTTCATTATTTGTGGTGCTCTTACACTGATATCAAAGTATGGCTAAACTGGCAGCTAGCTGTCTGCAACTCTCACATGGTCGCCCACTGAAGCTAAGCAAGGCTGCGCCTGGTCAGTACCTGGATGGGAGACCACATGGGAAAGCTAGGTTGCTGCCGGAAGTGGTATTAGTGGGACCAGCAAGGGGCCCTCAACCTGCATCTGTGTGGGTCCTAACGCCCCAGTGTAGTTAAAGGGACTCTATACTACTCAGTGAGCACTGTCTTTCGAATGAGACGTTAAACCGAGGTCCCAACTTTCTGCGGTTGTTACAAAACCCAGGTTGTCCTTTGAAACTGAGTAGAGGTCTAACCTGGCATCCTGGTCAAATTTTCCCACTAGCCTCTGACCATCATGGTCTCCTAACCACCTCCTTGTCATAGATGGCTTCATCACTCCGCCAATCGGCTGGTGTATGGTGTGTGGTCTGGTGCAATATGGCTGCCATGAGGTCATCAAGGTGGATGCTGCATACTTATGGTGGATGAGGAGACCCTCCACCCCCCCACCCCCAACCAAAAAATAAAATAAAAATAAAAGAATGGAAATATTATTATTATTATTATTATTATTATTATTATTATTATTATTATTATTATTATTATTATTATTATTATTAATACTACTATTATTAAACATTTCTGATGTGTTCAATTTGAGCCCACAACTGTGTAATTTATTTCTAAAATGGGCAAAATCTCTGAACATAATCCATAATGCATTAGAAATGTTTTGTGCCCCTTTATACACTACAGCCATCAACATCATTCACTCGTAAGTCAATAGAAACATGGGCTGGCTTTAAAAGAAGAGCAGTCTCCTTTGATTTTTTTTAAAGAAACACTTGAGAGAGCTACTTAACAAACTAATAAACAAAGATTTGGTCTCTGTGATTGGCTATAAGGTTTCATATCCTGCTGTTTTCCCCAAACTCTAAAGCTTTGCTTTGGAGCCATCAAGTAAATGCTCCAATGTTTTACATTGGCGTGTGCTGCTCTTTGATTGGTCGCTCATGTTCCCTTCCACCTCTGTGTTGTGTTCAAGGCTCACAGTTTCTCACACAAATTACAGGAAACTGTCGCGCCTAATGACCTGTCTCACTGACTCCAAAACAAAGACGGGGCCCTAAATCCACAAATGACACCAATGTGATATTACACCCCCAGTCACACTCTTGTAAGTGCGCAAGCACAAGCTCAGTGCAGAGGAAGAGGATGTGAGCGTTATCCATCTGGCTCAGCCAGAGACATGGAGGGTGGAGGGGATCCTCAATTTTCACCCCTGTAATTGGAAGGAATCTCTGAACCATCAGCGGTCCTTTATGGCCCCCAGTGGAGCTCTGTGTTTTGTCTTGAAGAGGGGCAAGCCAAGCTGAGACAATTTTTCCCCCCTCTTCTAGCCACTGAGGGACCGTTTTGCGCCTCTTTCTCGAGTCCAGCAGCCCTGGTTTTCGTTTAAGGATTGCTCGGTATAATGAGGAGTCCTGCAGAGTCAGGCATCCGCGGCTACGCTCAGGACACATTCATCTGGGCTTACGCTACCACTTGCTGGTGTGTGTGGCCGGATACAAACCAGTGCAGCCGTTTCAGGCTACGCTCCTGTAGGGGAGCAGACAAAAGCCTCCCCCAGGGACATACAGCAGCAATTCTCCCTGCCTGGACTCTGATGGGACGCGGATACCGGTGATGATGCTACCAGGGGGCTTTTTCCCCTCCCTGCTCACTTGTCTGAACGCCTCGAATACAATAGTCCAGAGCCATGACTTCACCAAGCCTGTTAAACGAGTGGCATTATGATTTTTTTTTCCCTCTCGGTAACTCAGACACTGGCCTGGAGATTTGCATGACAGTGCGGCAAGAGAGAGAGAGAGAGGATTAATTCATTGGATACAGTTGGGGTGAGCGCGGGCCAGCTGCGGCAGTGATTGCGATCAGCCGACAGCAGAATTCAGCCCTGCTGGCTAGGCTCATGGAAATGAGGGCAGTCCCGTTGGCTAGGGCCCTTATCAGTCATCACGGTTTTGTGTTCTCTAAATACGCGGCAGCGCTCAAAAAGGTTGGTTTTCTGCACGTACGCTCGGCGCCCCTCCTATCCAGTGTTGTCATGACAGTGACTTACAGGAAGCTTTGTAATGGAGTTTGGTGCGCATTATGCTTGGACAGAGGAGCAGCAGGTGCGCAGGAGGCCCCAGGTGTTCTGTTGTTTCGCTCATAGTATAAAGCAAGGGGACCGTTTTAGGTACCCCCCCCCCCCCCCCCCCACCCACATACACAACCCCTCCTGGCGTGTCCGATTAATCAAGGTTTAGCTATTGATCAGACGTACGCGCCCACATTCAACCTGATTATCCTCTGCGGAGAATGAACTCTTCAACTTCCTTGAGGCAGGAAATCATTTGGTAGGGCTGAAATACATCTTATGCTGATCCAATCGGCATCCTATGTTGTTGGCTGTGGAGAGAAATCTGGGTTAAAGAGGAATGTAGTGCACTGAAAGTAATTGTTGAATAATGTCTGCTTGAATTCTGGAGAAATATGTGGAGATACTTGTTCAATAAATAGTTTTTGGAGGGGGGGGGGTGTTTAGTGAGATAAAGTACTTGTTGAATTTGAAATTGTAACTTTAATCGAATGGATGAAAGAAAAACCTTGAAAAACTTAAAAAAGAAAAAACAAATGGCATACACTACCTGACAAAAGTCTTGTCACCTATTCAAGTTTGAGGAACAACAAATAATAACTTGACTTGTAGTTGATCATTTGGTATCAGAAGTGGCTTATATAAAAGGTAAAGGCCTTTAGGTTAGGCTTATTTTACCAAAATAAAACATGTTCATGCCTTGATTTTTAATTATTTAATTAGTATAGTAAGGTCTGACTTTGCTTAGACAAAATTCTTGTAACTTAACAGAAATAATGTATAGAATATAAAGTCATGGTGCAGTGGAAAAAGAATGATTATTGTGTATGACTCCCATGAGCTTGGAGGACTGCATCCATACATCTCTGCAATGACTCAAATAACTTATTAATAAAGTCATCTGGAATGGCAAAGAAAGCGTTCTTGCAGGACTCCCAGATTTCATCAAGATTTTTTGGATTCATCTTCAATGCCTCCTCCATCTTACCCCAGACATGTTCAATAATGTTCATGTCTGGTGACCGGGCACCAATCTTGGAGCACCTTGACCTTCTTTGCGTTCAGGAACTTTAACGTGAAGGCTGAAGTATGTGAAGGAGCGTTATTCTGCTGAAGATTTTGCCCTCTCCTGTGGTTTGAAATACAATGGCCACCACAAATGTCTTGATACCTCAGCATGTTGATGCTGCCAATCACTCTGCAGATCTCTCGCATGTCCCATACTGAATGTAACCCCAAATCATGATTTTTCCTTCACCAAGCTTGACTGCTTTCTGTGAGAATCTTGGATCCATGCTGGTTCCAGTAGGTCTTTGTAATGATTGGGATGCAGTTTAACAGATGATTTATCGGAAAAATTTACCTTCTGCCACTTTTCCAAATGATCAACTAGGAGTCAAGTTACTATTTTGTTGCTCTTACAACTGGGATCGACAACAAGACTTGTGTCAGGCAGTGTACAGTATTGCAAAAAAACTAAATTTGTAAAAATGTGCAGCATGAACTGTATTTGTTTGTCTTTTCTTTTTGTAATCAGTCTCATAAATATACATATCAAGAATAATTATTTATCTGACTATATATTGGTTATTGAGTGGTTAACCAGTTGTGGTTATCATTTATCAATATCGGCCAAAATTTCCAAATCATTGCATCCTTAGTAAAAAAGTTTTAATCTATACTAGTTTTAAACAATAGTAAACCAAACATTATTCATATAAAATGTAGCACAGGTTATACAAGATGAAGGTGTAGATGTTTTTTTCTTCTTCAGTTAAACAATCAAGAATCCACCAAGCATGTTTATGTCTAAAACATAGACATCTAAAAGACCTCTAAACCTAGACGACTTTAAGTTAGGCTGTCTGTGAATATCTAATAGACCCTTTTCCCATTTCTGGGTTTCTCAGCACCGGAAGTCATCATAGTTGGGTAAACTTAGTGCGCAGCGAATGGGCCAGTACAACAAATATTTTTTTATATTCCTATTTGCTGAAATAATAAAATAAAAACAAAACAATGGTGTTATCAAGACTTTCAGAAAAAGGAGAAAATAGTGTGAGACTGATGACGGCAGGCAGAGAAGAGAATAACGTCAAATTTACTCTCAACCCCATTGACGCTGCATTACAAACACCTTGCATTTAATTGTAACTTGTATAATTATATACAAAGATGATATAACACACACATCAATGACTGTAAATGTTCATATGTTGTTTTAAAAATTTAAGTGTTAAAACTTTTAAGCATTTAAAATTAAGATGACTGTTAAACGCTTCATAAGTCTTGTGATAAGACATCTAAGAATACCCCAAATATAGACTATAGAAATGAATGACTGTCTATGAATTTTCTATATGTTTTATCCCATTAAGATTTCAGTGAAACGGAAACAGCAGTGAGCCTTTTCTTAGACATTGTGATGTACATCTGAGTAAAAAAAAAAAAAAAAAAAAATAGGGACTTGGTTGTGTACATCAGTTGATGACTTAAAAATTAAGGCAAATGAACCTGACCTGCAGGCCTGAAAATACAGCCAGTTTAGTCCAGTCAAGTGGCATTTTCTTTTAAAATGAATGAAACATACATGGATGAATGGTTTACAGTAAGATCCATAAAATAAAAAAATAGCCACCTGGGAGTGTTTTCAAGATGGCTACATTTACAGCTGACTCGCCTTAAAGGGACTTGTGTGAATAATGCTGAGTTTGCTTTTCTGCAGTGTTTACGTAGGCCTTCCAGGAATATGTTGTTAATAATCTCATTTCTTTTTCTCATTTTGTGTGTCGGCAGCTGCTCAGAGTGAAGAGCGCGAGCGGGAGTGTGCTTTTAATGACCAGCACCAGCAGGTGGATGAGCAGAGTGTGGCAGGTGACTGGCACATCACCAGAGAAAATAACACCATCCTGTGCAGCAAGAGCAGCCGCTGCTACGGCCTCTGGGAGAAAACACATGACGGAGAGATCCGTCTGGTCAAACAAGGTCAGAATCAACTCCAATACACACGCAAACCTCGGCATATATACCTTAGACGTCCTTCTGTTGACTTTTCACTGTTGCTCTTAAAGGGATGGTTCAGCTAAAAATGAAAGTTGCTCGTTATTTTTTCTCATGTTTATTCAGAATATGACCAACAAATAGTAACTAAATGCTAGTTTGCCAAAAAAATTATTTTCAAACTTTGGATTCAGTGTAATGAAAAAAGTTACTTTTGAATATACTCATCCTAATTGAGTACAGCTCATTTTGAAAATGAATATTTGTATCCATTTTCAGTAAATATAGGCAATGTATTTTGGTGCATTTAAGCAAAACAGATTTATTAAACTTTTTTATTAAACTTTTTTAATATTTATTATATATATATAATATTTTAGTCGCCAAACATATTTAGGATTTGAAAGAAATTACAATTAAATTCAAGCAAATATTGTTAAAAAAAAAAAAAAGAATTAGAACCTAAAAATTTTTAAACTTTTTTTTCTTTTTTTTTCTTTTTTAAATTAGTATTTAATATTTTTCTATAAAATATAAATTTGGGTGTACACATTTTTGGACCGTTATCGTAAGTTATTTTGATAGACAACCTCCCGATTTGGCATAGTGCTGACTAATCTAAGTTTCTTTGGTAAAATACAACAAACAGAAAAACCTATGAGTGGAACAAGGTTAAGGTACTAAAATGTTATATTTTAAATATCACACAAAATTTCTGTAGCTTAAATTTGTTTCATCCATTTGCTGTTCTACAAAGTTTCAATGGTATTAGTAGATGGCTAACAAATATGAACAACTGATCTGTAAATGGTGAGTTAATATATTAGGTAAGTGTTAGTTATTAGCTTATGTATGTTATTGGGACGTTATTCTAAAGTTGCAACTATTCCTCATTTACTAACAGTTAAGAATAGTTGCAACTTTAGAATTAACAAGTCTTGAGTAAGTAATTTACTAACAGTTTGTTCATGATCTATTACTAATTTATTAGGTATAGGTATAAATGATTAAAATACAGTTAAAAAGTCATTTATAACTTATTAACTAACAGCTTGTAAGTTATCTATTGGCTATCTATAAGGCAAAGTTATAAATAATAAACAAACTATTACATTTTATTTAACAAGTCATTTATAACCCATTAACTAACAATTTATTAATAATCTCATAACTAGTTATAATAGATAGTTATTTACAGTGTTATTGAAAACAATATTTAAAATTTGAATTAAAAAATGGTGAGTTCAGACATAACTTAAAAATGTAATGCAAGCTAAAATATATAACATTTAATGGCAGTGCATGCCTTAATAAAACAATTTAGCTTATTATAAATTATAGAAAGTTGTCATCAGTTTATTGTCATTTAAATAATCATATTATTTTACACAATTTAATCTTACAATGATTGAATGGAAATGAGATTAATATCAGTTTATTGTCATTTAAATAATCATATTATTTTACACAATTTAATCTTACAATGATTGAATGGACATGAGATTAATATTATTTTAGGCTTCTTTAATAAAAAAGGATTAAACGCTGAGTTGGTATAAAATGTTCATGAATATAAACATTTTATTGCAAAATAAAACAATATAAAATGGTAAAAATGATATATATGATGTTAATATTAATAGTTTTATAGACATTAAGATCAAAATATAATATAATATAATATAATATAATATAGTATAATGCAAAATAATTAATATAATATAATATAATATAATATAATATAATATAATATAATATAATATAATATAATGCAAAATAATTAATATAATTTAATATAATATAATATAATATAATATAATATAATATAATATAATGCAAAATAATTAATATAATATAATATAATATAATGCAAAATAATTAATATAATTTAGTATAATATAATATAATATAATATAATGCAAAATAATTAATATAATATAATATAATATAATATAATATAATATAATATAATATAATATAATATAATATAATATAATATAATATAATATAATATAATATAATATAATGCAAAATAATTAATATAATATAATATAATATAATATAATGCAAAATAATTAATATAATATAATAAAATATAATATAATATAATATAATGCAAAATAATTAATATAATATAATATAATATAATATAATATAATATAATATAATATAATATAATATAATATAATATAATATAATATAATAAAATATAATATAATATAATATAATATAATATAATATAATATAATATAATCATCTCTACTCATTGTTAAGAAACTCCAGTTTGTATCTCAGTGTTTCACTCCACCATCTGCATCTTTTCATCGCAGGCTGTTGGACTTACATTGGTGACCAGCAGGACTGCCATGACGACCGTTGCGTGGTTACCACAACGCCATCGCAGATCCAGAATGGCACCTACAGATTCTGCTGCTGCAGCACCAACATGTGCAACGTCAACTTCACAGAGAACTGGGTGCCCAGTCCCACCAGCACTGCCAACCGTAAGTCCTACAAACGCAGCATCTCTAGACTTCATCTGAAAGCCCCATGTCCCTGTCTGAGAGTCAACGCCCGTATTAGATTTCTGTGACGGAGGAAAACTGGTCTTGCAGGATCCATTGTCAACAATCTCAGCACAAATCAAGCTCTGTAATGTTCTTGTATCAGCATGTTGTGATGTCATTCGTTTACACATTTTAGGTTTACCAAAATTTATTAATATAAAATGTACTCACTCTCATGTTATACTAGATGCAGGTGTAGATGTTTATTTTTTCTTCAGTTAAACAAAAAAGAGCCCACAAAGCACTTTTATGTTTAAAAGACTTCTAATAGACGTCTAAACATAGACGTCTTTAATTTGGTCTGTCAGCGAAGATCTAATAGACGTCTAAGAAAAGCCTAAATGGAGACTAGTCAGCAAACAGACAGGAAAGAATGACTACACATGTGAAGTCTGTCCAATCCCAGCAGGCAGACGTCATAAGATATTAATGTTAGGTTAGATTTAGGTTGTGACGTCAGATGACTAAAATCCAATGTCTAGCCAGGCTCTAAGTATAACGTTATTTTGATACCCAATAACGACGTTGATATTTAGTTTATTTAGGTTGTGTTGGAAAATGACCAAAATCCAACATTGAGCCAACATCTAAAATGTCATGTTGACGTCAAATACTGACATTTATTCATCAGGTATGGCAACCAAAATTCAAAGTCTGATATACGTCATAGTGGTAATGTCCAAACAATGTCAAGCTGTAACATCATTAGACGTTGATATTTGGTTAATTTTAGGTTGGACATTGTACGTTGATGTCTGCCTTTACATAGATGTCGGATTTTCATTTCCAAACAAAATGCAACATCCCACGACGTTAAGATATGATGTCAATCTGACTTCCTGTGCCTGCTAAGATCTGTCTAATATTTAATGACTAGTCTATTTTTAGACTTATTAAATTTTGACTTATAGCTCAATTTTAGCTTTGTTTGTTTTTGTCTATTAGATGTCTTTTGAACACAAAAAATGCTATTGATGTTCTTGATTATTCGTAAAATGCAAGTCAATGGCTTACAAACGAAAAAAAAAAAACTCCAAAATGAGTACTCAATAATTCTGATAATAGAGTACTAGGGATGGGTACTAAAACTCGGTACTTTATTGGAATCTGTGTTATATTAGAAAATACAGAAGGATTGATAAGTTCTGATGTTAATGGTTCTGCTTTTGGTACTGGAGAATTATTGCTGAATAAACATTACTTACAGTAGCATAATTTAACTGACCAAAGTTTTCTAATTTACCATGTTTGATATTCGTCTGCACAGTTGCCAATCTCACATGAGAAAAGCTTGTGTTTTTGCCCAATAGTACAACGGCGAGCACGTCAAGTATAAAAGCCTTCACAGTTCTCGGCTGTGCGCCCGCACTCAGTGGAGGCTTGTGCTAAGCGCACACACATAGCTTGCGACACAGACTCGCGTGCGTACACACAGCTCGTAAGCTTGCCGAGTGGTGGAGAGAACTAAACGGGTTGTATTTCCCGAGTGGACAGCGACAATGCCCGTTGCAACAAACGCAACAAGTTGTTTTCATGTATAAGCGGAAACGCAAGCAATCTGGCTAAGCATCTTATAAAAGTAATTTAACCACAGAAAGACAAATGAAATGTTTTCAGCTGCCTAGTTAAAGGTACATCATCCACATTGTTATGCTAGCAGTCAATCACATAAGGTCTCTCTAAATTAGTATGATATTAATAGTTTAATAAACACACTCTTTCGGTTACATAGTATTGTTTTCTGCGGTAGCCTAAATAAATCTAAAACTAATTTTTATTAAGAAATTATAATAAAAACAGCTTATTTTTACATTGTTAACTCCCAAAAAACCTTCAACTCATTGATGTAAATGTGTTAATGAAAAATCATAAACATTATCTGATTATTTAACTGCCTTTTTACAACTAAAAGAGGGTACTGCAGGGAGCACAAATAACCAAGAAAGATCCCGACTTTGTTGATTTTTGTTGATTTTTCACTAGAAGAAAAAAGGTTAAAAACATTTTCCTTCAAACCATTGTACAGTCTTTTATAGGAAAAATTGTATTTATTTGTTTTACAGTTATTGGTTTTGCTTTATTTTACATAAAAAACTTAATAATAAACTAAAGTGTTGTCAATTCTGTTCAATTTGTTTTGGACCAGAAAAAGCACTGATAAGAGAACTGTTAATATACCAAACCTATAAGTGGTATCGATAAAAGTAGTAATACCGTTAAAACATTAACGATACCCATCTGTACCTTGAGGTCTTATGAAGTAAAACAGATTTTAATTTCTGAAATCTGCTGACATGCATTTTATAAATCAGCAAAAACCATGATTTTAGCCAAAACTCATATATTTTATGTTGTATTTAAGAAAACAAATCACCGGCTTTACATTTTAAATGTATATTGACAGTAAATTATTCAATTAATTTGAATACATTAAAGTTAGACTTAAGGAAGTAGCCACTTTTCTCGTTATTAGCTGCATTAAAATAGTTACACCTGTTGATTTTAATGAGGTATTTAGCATTAACCAATAAATCAATATGACTTAAGATTAATAAATGCTTTACAAGTTGGTTTGATCATCATTTTTGAAACTAATGTAAACAAATGGAACCTTATTAAGTGTTAAGGACCAATAGGTCTGCAACAATCACATTTTCAATCAATATCTCAGCCCTGATTGATATATATTTATATTTTTTTACAGTATAAAGTCCACTGAAAGACAAAGATCTGAATATTCTTTAGTTTAAAAGTATGAATGCTACATAGTTACTCAGTGTATTTTAAAGTGTTCGTGACTATAGACCAATACCTCACGTATATCTACATACATGTAATTAACAGCACATTAACATTTTTGGTAAACGATCTTGTAAAGTGAATAGCAACATCTCTGTAATGGCTGTCATAAATCAGCTCATTTCGGCTGCTTTAAAGTAAGTGGGAGCCAGTTTAATTACTGCAGTATTAACAGTAGGCAGAGAACACTTGCTAAAATTAACTTGCACTAGAGCAACCGGCAGTTACATACTCAATTACTAACATTAGAGTACCTATGTGTGGGTGAGTATGATTTTAGTGTTGAGAAACACATTAATGCTAACTGCATTTAGCACATCTCCGCAGATAAAGACTGTGGTGCATTATGGGATGAAGAGCTATTCTGGTGTAACTGATTGTATAAATCACCCTGCATGGTTTTTCTGTTCGATTCTCTTCTACTAACTACTGTATCGACTGTGCTCTGGAATGTTGGATAAGAAAACTCGATAGTCTAATGGCGGTATTGACTTCTGCTCGGTCGATGGTAGGTCAGCGGCCTTTTGTCCACGAGGTCATGGCTTTTTAAAATGAATGCCCACCAGTTCTCTTTAGTATTCATATGCATTTCCATTCAGCATACGTGTGTCTGTAAGCACCTCTTATCTGTAGCTTTTAGAATTAGCACTAGTTTGGTTAACAACATCATAACAATGAGGTTTAAAGAATTGAGTGAACTTCGTAGGTTACTAGATATCATTATTTAACCACAAAGCAGCTATACATTGAATATTTAGCCCATATTATAACATACTTAGACTTTGTATTTTAATAATATTTAAAATAACTAAAATTTGATTATTTATTAAGCTTCCGTTGCTTCAAAAGTGCGGTTTAGCTAAATAAAAGATGGTTTGATGGTTTAAAGGTCTAAATTGATGTATTTCTATATTGGGCAACTTTTACTTCATTACATTTCGAAGCAAAGTGTTGTACAGTTTACTTTGCTACATTTCATTAAGGTAGTTGGCTATAACGTTATTTTACCACTCATAGGTTCTATCTGCTGTCCAATTTGTGAATGATTGGATTATTTTCGCTTGACCTGAAAACATTTCACTGAACAATGTATTTGTGAAATAAACTCAACCAACTGCATCTGTTTCCTAGTAAACAACTCAAATGAATCAGTCAGAGCAGATCTCCAGTTTACGATTTTATGAGTCAAATGATTCTGTGTGAGTGAGTATCCGGTTAAATATTCACCGATTTAAATAATCAAAGCAAGTCTTAAAGTTAGCTTCAAGTTTACACATTGTAGCATTTTTTGTTGTAAACGAAAACTAGGGATGCACCAAAATGAAAGCACTTGGCTGAAAAATCAGAAACTGAAAAATCTCTGGATGTAATTAGCTGAAAACGGAAACCAATACTGAAAATTCTTTGCAATAATAGTATATTAAGTAATTTTACTAGACTTAATAAATTGAACATAACCACTTAAATAATGCTGATTAGGGCTGCAACTAACGATTATTTTAATAATATAATATATTAATAATATATGATTATTTTTACAATTGATCGATGAATCGGATAAAAAAAAGAAATGCATTCATTTCCAACTGTTTATTCAAAAAAGCTCATCCCTAAGCTGTTATAATAATAAAATAATAAAATAAAAAACTAAGTAGTTTTGTACTGTTTTCAATCCAAATATCTAAATATTTTTAAATTAAGATACATACTAGACACATGTAATAGCATAAGAAGTTATGTCGTGTTTTCTAAAAAAAAAACCCTCAAAATTAAGTGATTGTTTGCTTAAAACAAGTTTTAAACTATTTGTGAATTGGGTAAGAAAAATAATCTTAATGAGATATAATTTCAAACAGAAGTTTTACCAGTTATTTTAAGTTATTTTAAGTTTTACCAGTTTTACCACATAAACTTGTAAGTGATTGTGATCTACAACGTGAGATGGTTGTTGCCATGTTTACTTGTGACCGTGCGTTTGCCTCATTCATAAAAGCAGAACACACAGGATTCAGCACGTAAATTCACCAGTTACTCCACAAATACATGCAAGTAAGTGGCTGGTGAACTTAGAGAAGAATAGATTCAACTTTCTCAGCGGGGTTAAGTTGGTTTTGTTTTTTGGAAAAAAATCCCTGAAA